GGGGGGGGGGGGCATTTTCTTATTGAGCCCCCCCCCCTTCCCCCTGGCAGTAGTGTACGCAAATATGTTAGAAAGGAGATGGAGCGGACAAACTGAGCCTAAATCACATTAAAGACAGTGCGGCTTCAGGTCAGGTAGAAGCGCCTCTCATCAGATCATTGCCTTACGCTAGATAGTTGAGAAATCGTAGAGTTCGCTGACCTTGTTTACATGTTCTTTGTTTACACGGCAAAATTCTGCAGCTTCATATTCCCAGTTATAGACAAACAGCGAAAGCCCGGTTTAATCATTCAGAAAACGGCAGTTTGGCTGCTAGATGACAGAGCATTGCCCAAGTACTGATCAAGCGTCTGAAAGATGTAACGTTTTCGTTGTATATAGCTGAAACGTATTTATGATATTTTTGTTTATGACTACGGGGCCAACAGTATACTCTGTTTCGTTTCTATATTCTTACAAACAAAAGTCCTTTCGAGAAGCTCCAGATTCGTTTGTTGATTTGTGGCATGTCTCACATAACGTGTCTGTCCATTCTTCCATTGTAGCATTGCAATTGATTGGCCTCTCTGAACCTTAGATATAAATCATCGACTGGCTCACCTTCCGAAAAACTCTAGCGATGTACTGTTTGTATTCTGTAGCCCAAAAGGAAGTCGACAGATTTTTCGATGCTGGTCATCAGTTCAGCATTGGCGGCACATGCGCGCATATTTTAGATTTGAACAGCAAATTAATACTGATCGAATGGGTCATATGACTGTTTCATCACCAATGTATTTCAGACGTTCTATGTCTTCATGCACTAGGCAACCGTCTATGCATAGGACGAATGGTACCGAAGAGACAGACCCATGTGCAGCAATTGTTATCGTATTGAACATTCAGCGCCTGGCACTCATAATTAATCGCAGCTTGTTGAAATAATTCTGAATAGCGATCGATTAAAGAAAATCTCATCATCAGGTGGAAGAACTTAAATCTACAACAACAAGATGTACTGAATCATCTCATTAGTCTGGTCGAGGTTCAGTTCCACAGTTCGAATGAGGGATTAATCAGAATTGCCAGTGGTGTTTCGGTTTTACTTGCGAAAGCGAGTTACTAACATGTAGCATGAGTCGTTGTTCCCGATTCGAACTGTCCCCTTACTTTTAGCAGCCTAGAAGACCTTATGAGAAAGTCACGACGAGATGGCGTTCGAGCATATGTCTTCAATTCGGTTTTACATCTTTGCGCTGAACCTCTATTGTTGTACTTCTACACAGCCCGGCCCTTAGGTCGCTGTTATTAGTGGACTAAGGATGGCTGTTAAGTCGCGCGAATCCAGAGAAGCTAGAGGCATACGTGTCTAATATGACACTGTCAAATATGACACAACAATAATTAGTGGAAATATTTAAATTCAGATAGCGATCATGAAATTTAATTTCAGCTGTTCAACTTAAGCACCTAAATCCATGCGAAGCTTGCTACGCTTATGGATGATACATGTCTGATGGCATTGCTGATACATAGGCTGGGAATGAAGAAACCCTAAAGGCTATGATAAGGCAGGTTCTGACGCGTCGAAGAGACGGATCAAGCAGCCTGGCTGATTTACTGCTTATATCGTTATTCGCTTGTCTAATGATTGCCTCTTGAGTCCTTCTGGAAGATTTATCCCCTCTTATTCCTCTTCGGGCACTCGCACAATGATTTCT